GGTCGTGCCCAGGAGCTGCAACAGTCCCGAAAACACACCGAGAACTGCAACAGTCAGTGCCAAGGATGCATTGGAAATGGACGGAGCACATCGGCCTCGCGCGGGAGTTGTTCGAGATCGATGTCCGCCAATTCCTCGAGAAGTCCTCCTTCACGCAGACAGGGATGCGCCACGTCCTGAACAGCGTTCTCGAAGGGCTCCAGTACATGCACGACAGGGGCCTCATTCACTGCGACATCAAGCCCGCAAACATCCTGATGCGAGGATCGCCGCAGACGCGCGGCTGCTTCGAGAAGCAGGCACTTGTATCACGTGAGCTTGGCGAATGGGATCCCGTCGCGCCGTGCCCAAAGAGCAAGCTGCAGTTCGACTGGCAGATCCCGAGTTCCTTCGAGGCGCTCGTCGTCGACGTCGTCGTCGCCGTCGTCGTCGCCGTCGTTGTCGTCGTCCTCCTCGTCCTCGTCCTCCTCGTCCTCGTCGTCCTCGTCGTCCTCGCCGTCCTCGTCGTCCTCGTCGTCCTCGTCGTCGTCCTCCTCGTCCTCGTCGTCGTCGTCCTCGTCGTCCTCGTCGTCCTCGTCATCCTCGTCGTCCTCGTCGTCGTCCTCCTCGTCCTCGTCGTCGTCGTCCTCGTCGTCCTCGTCATCATCGTCATCCTCGTCGTCCTCGTCGTCGTCGTCGTCATCCTCGTCATCCTCGTCGTTCCTTCGACTACCAGTTCCCGAGTTGTCAGGGCTCAGATGGAGTTCTAACATAGTATGTTAGAGCTCCCAGGGAGCTCTAACATAGCATGTTAGGGCTCAATGGGAGCTCTAACATAGCATGTTAGAGCTCACTGGGATCTCTACCATGACACGTGATACCATATTAGAGCTAACAGGGAGCTCTAACATGCTATGCTAGGGCTCCCAGGGAGCTCTAACATGCCATGTTAGAGCTCCCTGGGAGCTCTAACCTAGGATGTCAGATCTCCCCAGGCAGCTCTAACATAGCATGCGAGAGCTCCGATGGAGCTCTAACATAGCGTGTTGGAGCTCCCATGGAGCTCTAACATAGCATGTTAGAGATCCGACGACGCCCTCATATACGAGGTCAGAGCTCAGCTTATCTCACTAGCCTTCATGTTAGGTCTTAGACCGAGTTCTAACAGGGGAGGTTCCACCCTTCCCCCGAGATGCCGTCGTCGTGCCCTCTATCCCGCCCTTCCCTCCAGGGGTAGCTCAGTCGCCGTCGCTCCCCTCTCCTCCATCCGCCCCTCTCCGCAGGTGGTGCTCGGCGACCTCGGTTGTGTGGAGATGGTGGATCCCCACGGCAGGTTGAAGAAGAAACTGCGCTACAGCCCGACCTGCGATGACCTCGGAGTATGCGCGCCCGCTTACAGAGCGGTAGACGTTTTCTTGGGGAACCAGCGTTACTCAGAGGACCTGGACATGTGGTCCATCGGGTGCCTGATGGCGGAGTTGTACACGCGCAATGTGATGTTCCAACCAGAGCCTTGCGGCGCGCTCGGGCATCCAGGGGTGCACCCGAAAGACTTCGTGGTTTTATTCAGGGAGGTCTTGTGGATCCCAGGCAAGGAGCCAGGGTCGGGGGACTTCTGCGATTACGAGGACCAGGAACCCGCCCCGTGGCTGGACAACCTGCCTTTCTTTAAGAAGTGGTTCAAGCGGTCGGGCGAGGATTGGCTAAAGGCTGAAACAGCGAAGGCACTCGACGGCCGAGGGCGCTGGCCCGTTGCCGAACTTGCAGACTGCCCCCCAGACTTGTTGGAGGCCCCCGAGAGCTGCCTGCTTTGGCACTCTGGCGCCAGAGCGACAATCAGCCGTCTAAGGGCGCGTCGCTTCCTGCAGCCGGCTGGCGCCCAGCTCGACGTGCGCATCTCCATGGCGCAGGGAAAAAACGGCACGGGCGCGATAGCGGAGGCGGAGCTGGACCCAGACTTGCTCCGCTTCTTGCAGAGAGACCCGCGCTGGCAGAACTTGGCCAAGGAGCGCCTGGACACGGGGGCGACCGTCTCCAAATGCGTCCGAGGCGACGAGGCGGCAAAGGGCTTGAAAACAGAGGTCGCAGGCATCGTGGACGACGAAAGCCCCCCGAAGTGCCGCAGCCTCAACAAGGGCGGGAATTTGCAGATCACCCCGCCGCCCCACGCGGCCGCCTATGTGCGAGCGCTGCGGAAGAAGATGCGGCCGTGGCTGCAACAGCTGGGAGACAAAATGCGCGAGTCTGTCAAAACCGACGGCATGCCACCTGCCATCGTCGAGCAGAACGGAAAGCCCATCATGACAGAGCACTTCGCCGACAACGCGTTCGCGTACGCATCGATCCAGCTCGCGCAACCAGGCGCGCGGGGCGACGGTTGGCACGCAGACGGCGGGTGCTCCCTGTTGCACGCGGCCGCGCCGCTTCTCGGGACGCGCTCCGTGCAAGTGAGGATCCCAGGGGCCCTGGGATCACATCATGGGGCGTCACCCTCGAGCACAGCCTCCTGCGGAAGGGTCGTCACCCTCGAGCAAAAGCCTGGGTCCTTCTACATGGGCGCCCTGTCCTCCCTCGAGCACAACGTGCACCGCCGCGCCTCCGCGGACTGCCGGGGCTGTTTCGCGACCCACCACGGGCTGCAACAGCGCGTAGACGACAGCAGGCTGCAGATCGCCGTCATGATCCGCTCCGGCTTTCGGGAGTTCAAGGCGCGCAGGATCGACGCCACGTCCGGCCCGAAGGTGTTCTTCAACGTCGTGACCCGCGTCGTGGCCGATCACCTGGCACGGGTCCCCGTGGCGCTGCCCGACCTCACGGAGGTGCTTGACGAAATGCGGTGGCCCGCTTCCACGGAGGCTGTGGTGCTTTCCGATTCCGATTCGGCTGCAACAGTTTCCGAATCCGATTAGACTGCCACAGTACGCAGCACGGCCCGCGCACTCGGAAAAAAGGTGATCGTCATCCTCATCATCGTCAGCATCATCATCTTCATCGCCATCATCATCGCAATCATCGACTTCATCATCATTGTCATCATCATCATAAGCATCAACATGGTCACGCCGCCACCATCGTCATGCGGGTCATGATTTAATCATCATCATCACTGTATGATGATGACGATGACGAGGAGATGGTGATGGATGTCATGATGATGACGATGATGAGGACATGGTGATGATGATGGCGATGACGCGGACGATGATGAATACCATGACGACGATGACGACGATGATGATGACGATGGTGCAAAAACCGAGTGAGTCACTTGAGCCCCAAAGCCCCGTCCTAAAGACAGCCAGACGGATCCAACGTGGATCGGGCGTCGATTCGACGCTTTCGACGCGGAATATCGGCAGCGCGCGTGTGCTCCCCCACCTTGTTTTTTGTGCGTGTGTGTTGTGTATGTGTGTGGGTGTGTTTGTGTGTGTGTGTGTGTGTGTGTGTTGGCCTCGTCTTGCGCTCAAGGCAGCTGCAGGTTCGACACACTTGGAGTCTGGCCGCCAGCCTTTGGACGCTCGCGTGGATTCTTCCCAGGCCGCGTGCGAGCCAAAAGTGTGTGTGTGTGTGTGTGTGTGTGCGTGTGCGTGTGCGTGTGTGTGTGTGTGTGTGCGTGCGTGCGTGCGTGCGTGTGTGTGTGTGTGCAAAAACCCAATCCTCTTTCATCATCGACGCGCTGAAAGGGTCGTACAACCGTCGCGACGTTGATCTCATTCTTGCTTTCTCGGGCGACTCCTTCCCATGCATCCTCTGCCGTGTTTTGTTCGCAGCATGGAACCTCAGACAGAGGTCTGGACCTTTCCCCAGGACCGGCTTTTAATCCCGAGTCATTTTTTGCCAGCCCGAGGGCTTGGTGAGGGCCTCTGGAGGCTGAACACTATCAACATTTTTTTATCGCTTCTTTACAGCGAAAAGAGGTCGGGGTTCTCGCGCGGCATTGGCCTTAGACGGGCGAACGGTGTTCTTCGTAACAGCGTGGTCGTTTATTGGCTTGTGGCCACATCACATGCAAGAAAGTGTGGCTCGCGCTGTCCAGCAGTTGGCTGTGCCGTTTTCTCTCGGTACATCCGCATGCCTAAACTGTCGGACAGCGCAGTTCGTGCTTTATTGCATGTGTTCTGCGTGTTGAGTGTGGCAGACACCAGATCCTACAGCGCACAGGCAACTGGCCACGCCGCTAGTAGCCTGGTTTGTTTGATCCACGCATGCGATAGCAGCTCATGGGAGCCTTGGACGTCCTCGCAATTCCGTCCTTAGAGTGCCGTAGCGAGCGTTGGCGTCTGGTAATCGATGAGACGCCGCCAACCTCGCGTCGATTAGCGCCGATGTAACGTCATTTCGCGTCGACAAGCGTCGGTCAGCGTCGATCCGCAAGAGCAAGCAAGATGATCTGGGAGGCTCCCATGGTTTGCCACATAAGACGCAGGGCCCGGGGCCGCCCTTTCGGGTGTTGCTAGATAAGTGCCCCTGGCCCAAGGTGCCCCCAGGATTTCCGAGGAGGCCCCGACGGCCTCCACTGCACCCCTCACGAGGCCAAGAGGGCCCCGGGGGCTCCAAAATTGAGCGAAAAGCTGGGGGCACCTTTATCTAGGCCTCCCAGATGGGGTCCGAGTAGATGGTGTCGATGGATCGCCCCGCGCGATGCAGCTCGATGTGGAGCCAGACTTTCAGCACGCCGATGGCGCCGATGCATCGCCGATGTCGCCGATGCATCGCCGATGCATCGGCGACGCATTGGCAATGTAGTGCGATCTTCCGACCCCACCTGCTCTCGGCGGCGAGCCCGGGGGGAAGGTGAGAGGGGGCGGGTCGGAAGCCCCCTGGCTTTCTGAGAAGTTTTCTAAGCCTTCCCCGAAGACACAGAACAGTTCTCCGAAGGCGCGAGGGCCCTGAAAAGTCCCGCCGCCCTTCGAGAAGGCCCCCCTCCCCCTCGTTTTCCCCCCTTTCGCTCGCCGCCGAAGCTCACGCGCCCCACCCGGGAACCCTCTGCTTCGGCAGCCCCCGACCCCCCCTGCCCCGACAGGCCACGAGCAGGCCGCCGACATGCTCCTCGACGTGGGCGCCGTGCACCTGCTCGACGTGCCGGACGCCGCCGCCGAGCCGCCCCGCGGCGCCCGGCCGCTCCGCGGCGCCCGCCGCCCGGCGCAGGTGGCCTCGGCGCCCGGTTCTGGCGAGCAGGGAGGAGGAGGAGGGGGAGGGAGGAGGGGGAGGGAGAGGGGGAGGAGGGGGAGGAGGAGGGGGAGGCGGAGGAGGCGGACGAGGAGGAGGCGGAGGAGGGGGAGGCGGAGGAGGAGGAGGAGGAGGAGGAGGAGGAGGAGGAGGAGGAGGAGGAGGAGGAGGAGGAGGAGGAGGACCGCAGCAATTTTGGCTCAAGTCCGTAGCCATTCGGCTCAGGCTTGGCCTTAGTGGCGAGGGGGATCGGCGGCCCCACAGTTCTGTTTCTTTGTCCGCACCCTCATTGCTCCCGTGTCCATTGCCATCTACGGTTCGATTGATGGCCCCGTGGCACCATGCCCCACGCACGCGCCAGTTCTCGGCCCTGGGAGCGGCACCATGGACGTGCGGCCACTGCGGAGTCGGAGGCACCTTCGCCACGAAGATGCAGTGCCGCGCCTGCATGTCTCCCGTGCCGCGATCCATCCAGCAGGCGATCGCGCGCGCGGCCAGAGAGGAGACGCCCGCCCGCGCCCCCTGGCAACCCATCGGCGGCAAGGGCTCCAAGGGCAAGGGCGGTGCTGCTGCTCCTCGCAAGCCTGCTGGGGGTGCTTGGGGCTACTTCGGCGCTGGAGTTGACATGCTCAAGCAGAAGCCCCAGCAACAGCAGCAGCAGCAGCAGCAGCAACAGGCTGGACACGACGGAGCAGACCCCCTCATCGCCCTCGACAGGTCCATCGCCGCGCTGGAGGCCCTGGAGGACGCCAGCCAGGCCGAGGTTCTGGAGCGGAAGCGCAGGGCCCGCGCCGATTTGGTGGCCGAGCGCAGGACTGTCAAGCCCTTCTACCAGCAATTCCAGCAGTTGGAGGGCAAGATGGCGGCGGTCGACAAGAAGCTGGGGCGACAGCGGGACGAGGTCGTCCCCGACCTCGAGCGGCGTTTGGCCCAGGCGCAGGAGCAGGAGCGGGTCTGGTCACGGGAGCTGGAGTCGTTGCAGCAGGAAAAGGCTGCCTTGGCCCAGCGCCTGGCCCAACAACAACAGCCTGCCCAACCTGCGTGGGCTGGCGAGGCAGGCGGCGGGCCACGCTGCGGTCAAGCGGTGGCGCAGCAGCTGGCCAGCGGCTTGGAGGCGTTGGTCGGCGCCGAGGGGGGCGATGACGACATGGACGGCGGCCCTCAGCTACCCGACGGCGTGGCCCAGGCTCTGCGCAGGCGCTGGTCAAGGGGGTTCCCCAGGTTGGCACGGGGGTGGACGCTGCGCGCCCAGGTGCCCCCCCACAACCCCCAGCTGCAGGAACCGCAGGTGCCGACGCTGGGGCCGCAGCGGACGCTGGCGGCCCTGCCGCAGCCCCCGCAGGCGCAGGAGCAGGTGCTAGAGACCTTGTGCGGATCCCAGTGCCAGTGGATGTCGAAGACGCTAAGCGCAAGCGGGATGAGCTCATCGAGCGGTTCGTGGCGGACCTTCCCGAGGAGGGGCGGGCGGCCAAGCGGGTCGTGCTGGGCTCCTCTAGCGTGAAACCCGGCGATGCCGCGCTGCCGATGCCGCAGCAGGAGATTTGACCGACCCTCTGCAGGGCGCGGTGGTCGGCGCCGAGGCAGACGCGGAGCCCGCCATCTGCTTACCTCCTCCCTCAACGCTAACCTGTCCTGGGCGAGAGTGGCGGAGTTTCTGGAGGAGGAGATCGCCGCGCTGATCCAGCGAGGCGGCTTACCTGTCGTGGCCGTGCAGGAGCATGGCAAGCCAGCGGGCTGGCTTCAGGTTTCGGCGGCAGCCACTTTGAGACGCGGCTGGCGGGCGGTCGGCGCGCCAGCTGCCCGCGCGGAGGGGGGCGGCCTTTCAGCTGGAGTCGCCCTGAGCATGCCCACTTGCCTAGCATTGCCCAGGGTGCCTGGACAAGAGGATTGGGTCATATCGCCTGCGGGAGCTCCAGGACGGCTCTGCCTGGGTCTCACGAAGGTGAGGGGCCTCGGCTGGGTCGCCTTCTTCGCGCAATATCTTTTCACTGGCGAGCCCGTCGCGTGGCATCTGAATGCAGCCATCTTGGATCAGGTCGTTCAATGGGTCGCCCGTGGAGCTCAGCTCATCCTCAGCTTCGCCTCCCGTGGATCGCCATGGGCGAATTTAACACCGAGCCAGGCAGCGTTCTGAGGAGCCCATGGGATCATGAAGTGCACAGGCAGGTTTTGGCGTGGCAAGGGGAAGGAGGCGCGCGTCGGTCCAAGGTTGCGAAGCAGGGCGTGGGGTCTTTCTTGGATCGCGTGATCGACTTCTTCTGGATGGGCGGGCGTTTGGCCCCCATCCTCGACCCCGTGCAGTCCTTCGAGCGCGTGCCCTATAGGCCGCGCGGGCCCACGTGGCTCCGCGTAGCCAAGCCTTGGCACGCCTGCAAGGCGAAGGCTCTCAAGGGACCTCGTCAGTGCCCCGCCGAGCGGCCGCCGCCGGTTGCTCGGCCCGCCGCGCCCGTGGAGCGCCCCAAGGTGGACCTCGGGCCTCGAGAGGGGCCCCCGGCAGCAGCTCGATGCGGGCTGGCGGCGCTTTTGCGCGGCCGCAGAGGCGGAGCTGCGCGCGCCGTTCGGCTGGGGCCGGGCCGAGGCGCGGAGGTGCGAAGGCGTGGATTTGCCAGTTGCTCTGCTGCGTCCTGCCGGGCGCGCCCAGACCCAGAGGGGGGCCCCCTGCGGCCTCCGCCGCCGCCAAGTCGGGAGGCGAGTCTCCCCGCAATCTCATCGAGGAGGTCTCGCGCCAGCTGAGGCGCGCCTGGCGCAAGCTGCAGATGGCGCGTCACCGCTGGGACCACGTGGAGCCTTGGGGCGTCTTCCTGGCCCCCGTGCCGCGCGAGGCGACCCGCGAGCCCGCGGTCGGCGCCGCCATGCTGATCTCCCAGCAGCAGCAGCTCGCCAAGAGCCGCGCCCAGACCCTGGAGCAGAGACTCACGCGCCAGCGAGCAGCTCGATTCTATGAGAGGAGGTTTCTTACACAAGATACGTCACTGGAAGCGCGCCCGGAAGGAGCCAATTTCTTCGGTGCGCAAGGTCAAGCTGGCAGCGGACCCTCAGATAGCAGTCAACACGAAGGCTCGGGAGTGGGTATCCATATGGAGGGCAGGGGGCGGCAGTTACGCCGAGTTGTGGCAGGCTCAGTGCGTGCAGCTAGAGCGCTACGGTGATGCAGCGCAGCCTCCACCCCTGGATGCACAGCACGTGCGCGCCATATGTCGCAGCTACAAGTGCGCGCTGGACTCGGACTGGGCGGCTGTCACTTCGGTCATTTGGCGTGGCTCAGTGACGTTTGTCTGGATGTTTGGCACGGTTGTTGATGTTGTGCGACGCCGTTTCCCACGCCCGTTCGCATCTGGGAGGCCACCAGGGGCCCCGTCATTCGGCCCTGGTAGAAGCAACATCTACGGCCATATGATTGGGCGGCGCCTGACAGGAGCAGTGCGCGCGCAGTCTGGGGGGCAATGTTGGATGACGAGGCCTTGGAGGGAACGCCTTTTCTCTGTATCTCAGGACTCATGGATTTGGACATGGCAGATGAGTCCATCTCATTGAGCCTGATCGGGATCTTTGGACTAATGCAGGGGGTGCCCATGAGCGCGCTGGCTTTGTCGTTGGAATCCTACGCCTTCCCGCGGATGGTGCGCAAGGGCCAGGCGCTGGCGGGCGCCAGCACCACCTGCGTGGGCTTGCCAGCGGGTTCAAAGTATGCCACCCGTTTCCTGAAAGTCGTGCTGCGCCCCATCCTGGACCTTATCCTGCCGCGGCCAGGCGCGAAGCTTGAGGTCGCCAAGTTCGTGGACGACCTGGCGCTGCGCCTTGTCGGTGCCTTGAAGCAGCTCGGGGCGACCTTCCTTGCTGTGGTCGAGGCCATGGTCGCCCTGCTGGAGAGAGTCCTGCAGCTGAAGGTATCTCAGGGGCTGAAGGGGAAATCCAAGTTCGTGGCCAGCGACGTCGGCATGGCTGACCGCGTGAGCACGGGGCCCCAGGAGGTCGGCCTGCAGCGCGGCACCGACGAGCGGCGGCTGGGCGTAGACTACCAGCCACAGGCGCTGCGCAGGCGCACCACCCGAGCCAAGCGGCCGAAGGTCGCTCGGGGCAGGTGGCGCAAAGCGGCAGCGCTGAAACGACAGGGCGTGCGAGTACGACCAGTGGTGCAGCAGGGCCTGCGGGCCTAACCGCCGGGGCGCTCCCTGTGCAGCCCCCCGTCGGGGCCAACAGCTGGCGCGCGACCATTCCCACCCCGCTGCCCATGCGGGCGCGCGGCGCGTGAGGGTGCTGCTGCGAGGCCCTGAATGGCCGAAACCACAAAGGTGCCGCCCCTGAGCTTGCTGGATCCTCCTGCCCTCAAGCCCCGGTGCGTATGGGTCATGGGCACTGGCGCGCTGTGGGTTTGGCGGCCGCGGTGCGCAGGGTGCGCGAGGTGGGTCGGGAACTCCTTGTCCTCGGGGGCAGGAGCTCGCAGTTCCAATCAGTCGGGTGGGGAATTGCGCCGGGCGGTGCGGGGGAAAGATTTCAGCCCCGGGGGGCCTTCGGGCCCAAGCCGAGAAAGCGCAAGCATGGATCGAGGAACGTGGGTTAGCCACGGATCCTGCTTCCGGACAGACTCGGCGTGCTCCGTCGCAAAGTCAGGTGGCATTGGCCTCAGTTTCGTGGCGGGGCCTTCCCTCACCTCGGGAACTTATTTTTCTTCATCCAGGGGTAATTCCGAGGCGTCGGGGGCTTCGGGCGCAAGTCCATGTTCAATGGCCGGGCCCGAGGTACTTTCTTGAAGGCGCGTCTTGTTTCGAAACCGACCAGACTCGGCCACCTTAGTTTAGTTTTGAAGTAAAGCCGTGTCTTTGGATCCGGGGTCAGCCCAATTTTGTTGTGCTCATCTTGGGCAACCGCCGTACATGCCGCTTCGCCGCTTCGCATATCCCCACCAGCCCATCCAG